TATGCAAAGAAACATTCCAGGAAGCAAAATATATCATGTAACTTCCTTGATAATACTGAGGATAATAAAACTGCATTATTAATGCCAAGGATTATATTTACTCACATCTACAGATTATTAAGCATTTTGCTTAGATCAGTTGGAAACATTCTAAACATTGACATAGGTAGTGAATAACTAACATAAGACCACTCTGTAGTAATTACAGTTCTTGAAACTAGTGTCTTCACAGGTAACATCAGAATTGAGCTGGTGTCGTGGTTCACTTAATGCAACATTTAGTGACATAATGGGAGCATAACATAGAAACATATATGGATGCAACACAAGTTTCAAAAATATAGTAGGACTTAGAAAATTTATGAAGAAGAATCTTTCATACTATTAAGTATATATTTTTAGAAATATTAGACAGAAATGAAATTTATAGAGTAACATTTAAAGTCTTCTAATTAAGTTTTAAGAAGACAAGGGTGCCCTCTGATATTGCTTTTCCTCTGCATTGTTCTGGAAGTCTTAGCCTGCAAAATAAGATAAGAAAAGGGAGTAAAGCTATATGAGTTTGAAAAGAAAAAGGCAAAAGTGTCTTTACATGCAAATGATACACGATTATTGGTGAATGACACAAGATAATTAAGAAAATAATTAGTACATATATGGCAGTGCAACAAAAACAACCATAGCAATAAGAACCCTAGAATACCTAGGAAAAATTTAGCAATAGATGCACAAACTCCTTATAAGAAAATTACAAAGCTTATTTCTTAGACATTAAGGAATATCTAAATAAAATATGAGACAAACTATGTTCATGGATCAGAAGACAATATAGTAAAGAAATCAAATTAAAAAACAATTTATAAATTTAATTTCAATCAACATTGTAACTAATTGCTTTTTAACGTCGACAAGCTTATTCTAAATTTACTATGTAAGAACAAAGTGACAGCTACTAAAACAATTGGACTAGCCAGGTGCTGTGGTTCATCCCTATAATCCAAACAAGCAGAGGAAGACATAAGCCAGTGTTTTGACACCAGCCCGGGCAACATAGGGAGATCCCATATCTAATCAAGAAAAAATAGAACCAAACCTCCTCACAAAAACAAAACAAAACAAAAATCTAGGAGATTCACCCTAACATATATTAACTCATTGAAACTGTATCTAATTAAGATAATGACGTATTGATAAAGTGATACATGTAGCTTTACCAAACATAATGGAGAGATCAGAAAATAAGTGACATTTTCACATCTATGAAAATTTGAAATGTAAGAGGGTCACTTAAATATTGATAGGAGTCCAGGCATGGTGGCTCAGGCTTGTAATCACAGCACTTTGGAAGGCCAAGGTGGGTGGATCACAGGGTCAGGAGTTCAAAACCAGCCTGATCAACATGGTGAAACACCATCTCTACTGAAAATACAAAAAAATTAGCTGGGCATGATGGCAGGCACCTGTAATCCCAGCTACTCAGGAGGCGGAGGCAGGAGAATCACTTGATTCTGAGAGGCTGAGGTTTAGGTGAGCTGAGATCGCACCATTGCACTCCAGCCTGGGCAACACAGCAAGACTCCATCTCAGAAAATATATGTATATTGATAGGAAAATGAAATACTTAATAATCAATCTGTTTGGTCAGTGTCCTTCATAAAAACAAATTCCATGTGGATAATGATCTTCATGTGAAAACTTAAATGTTAAAATCTTTAGAAGAAAATTTAGGATAATTTGTTAATAAGTTCTAGATATAACATATATTAAAGAAACTACAAAAGTAGGAATAGTTTGATAGATTTAAATATTCATTTAAATAATACTAAATTTTCTTTTAAAAAATAATATTAAATTTTCTATTCAACAAAAATAATGCAAACAGAGCTAATAGTAATCAAATACAAATGGAAAGAATATATTTTTCACATATATTGCTACAAGGGAAATTATGTTTCAATTATATAATCAATACTTATAAACTTATGCAATCAATAAGAAAAACATAAACAAGAAACAAATCCTAGCACAGCTAAAGAATATGACAAAGTAGCCATAAAAAATTTTAGAAGAAAACTGAAATGAACAACCATATATTTTATGTATAATCTACATTCATCCCAGCAATGCAAGTTAAAACAATAGATCCCATTTCATATTAGATAAATAGTCCCAACTCTAACAAATTTTATTGAGGAATGCTCACATGCTACCTTTGTAAATTCTTGCACCTAACCTGGGGCAAATTGACAGTGCCTAATAGATTTCAAGTTGTAAATAATTGTCTCAGAGATTCTGAATTAAGGTATATATCTTCTCTATCACATGTGTGAAAAGGGAAATGTAAACAAATGTTCATTGTAGCATTTTTTATAACAAACTTTAGACGTGACTTAATTGTTTATCAACAAAGAAAATATAAGTTGTCCTATATTCACAGTGACATACTATACAGCTCGTTAGATAAAAGAACAAGAAGGACATTATCAGCATATATTGATCTCAAAAACACAATGTTGTGTGAAAATATGAAAGTATGAAATTACATGTCCAATATATTTACATCAAATACATTAAACTATTATATTTTCATAGGTAGCCAAAACTTTTGGGTACTATGTAGGACATAAAACATCGTTCCATAGCACTCAGTAATTTTTTTTTTCATGATTGTTTAAACAATAAGATGGAAATAAAAGCAAAGGAATTGGTCTCATAAAATTTTAGGAGAGTGTTTACCATGTGCAAGAACGAAATAACATGACATCAGGGAGAGTTATCCAGGGACTTAAATTATACATGTAAATTGTTTTGACTGAAAAATCTAAAGCAAATATAACAAAATGCTAAAATTTGATGAAGTTCATGGGTCTGTTCAAAGGTATTTTTTATTCTCTATAACTTTTTTGAATATTAGAAATCTTTAAAAAGTAAAAAAATATAAATGCTTAGGACAAGAGATTGAAAGTGCAGATTATCAAAATATTTTAGCTATACACTCCTAATTTGTTCTTCCTCTTCCCTGTTGTGAATTCAGTGGCCTCCTTCATTATATATTACACTCCTTTTATATTTGAAATCACAGGGAATTTGAATCTGGGGACATTTAAGGATTTTACAAAATACTAATTTTGTAGCAAATTTGAAGATACAGAGAAGATAAATAGTATTTTCACAGATTTTTTTCAGTACTCAAAGCTATCTCCTGAATTTAAGTAAAAAACAAGATGTTATTTATAACTTTGAATCTATGACCTTTCAAATTAGCTACTTGGTAATCAATTAGAGGAAGAGAAAAAAGTATTATTAAGTATAATTGATTAAATTCCTAAAATGATATTGCAACTGCAAAAGGTTGTCAGATTCAGGGAGACTTTGTTTGGGCTGTATCAACTGTGTGTTAAATTATACTTTACAAAGGGTCTTGCTAGGGCTTGAAAGCTTATATTTCAACATAAGGGCTAGACAAGAAATAAATGTATGGTAAAAAAAGATAATGCCATAGGCAAGTAAGGTTATAGCATACACAGGAAGTTCAGCCCATGAACATCTTAAATATAACTTTGTCTTTTAGTCAAAGTAACACGTACATTTAGCATTTCAGAAAGAAAAAGGGTGAACATTTTTATGAAATTCAAGGGACAAAACACATATAAAGAATAAGAGATATAAATATGCATAATCAAAATTTGCATTATGGACTTTAACCATGTTCTTTATTTGGCAAACCATTTTAAAGAATGACTAGCTGGAACCTTACAAGATAACAAGAAATATAAGGATTTTTTTTTTTTTTTTGAGACAGAGTCTCACTCTGTCGCCAGGTGCCAGGCTGGAAGACAGTGGCACAATCTCAGCTCACTGCAACCTCTGCCTCCCGGGTTCAAGCAATTCTCCTGCCTCAGCCTCCCGGGTAGCTGGGACTACAGGCACACACCACCACACCCAGCTAATTTTTGTATTTTTAGTAGAGGTGAGGTTTCACCATGTTGGCCAGGATGGTCTCGATCTCTTGACCTCATAATCCACCCGCCTCGGCCTCCCAAAGTGCTGGGATTACAGGCTTGAGCCATTGCGCCCAGCCCATTGGTTCTTATATTAGGACTATGGGTTGTAACATTCTCTTGGTTGCTCTTAAGGACCCATAAGCCCCTTTAGGTAAGTCAGTTTGTTGTAAAATACTGAAACTTTGATCATTTAATCAATCTAATCTAATCCTTCTCACTCACATGTCAGATGCAAACACATAATGTGTTTTCCCTGTCCACCAACAGCTATAGCAAGAAATCAGGAAAATGAATACAAACTCAGTGGTACTTTTTCAGCTGAAAATAATTAGTGTAACCATTTAGGCTGAATAACCAATATTTTGAACTCTTAGTTTTTAGAGATTTTTCCATAGGTTTTTCTTTGTAGTATGATGAATCATGTTTCTAAAGGCCATTTTGCACAAATATAAGGAATACCTTTTTAGGAAACAGTCATATATCCTGCCCAGCATGGTTAGAATAAGCTCCCCATCCCTTCTGGAAAAAAGATCATACTACAATGTATGCCATTGTCATTTTCCCTAACTTATTAACTTGTTCATTTATTCCTATTTATCCCATTTATCCTCAATAAAATAAAACATTGAGTTTCTCTATTCTGTGCCCATTACTCTGCCAGCTATATGAAATTAGTTACCTATTGAGTTTACCAATTCATCTATTCAATGCATAGGTTTTTGTGTGTCCACCATGTGCGGGGCACTAGAGAGAAAATGGTCCCTATTTTACACTGTCATGAAACTTGTCCTGTAGGAGGTCATTATTGACTAAATTGTACTCTCCTTTACCACTGTATAGTCTCTAATGGCTTTGCAGTTTGAGGTAATGAGATTATTTTATAGCATTACCTTAATTGTCCTGAAGCTGTGGAAAAAAAAATGCATAGAAATCATTAAAGAGTTGTATCGTGGGTATCTTGGGAGCATAATATTTTTAATTTTTTAACCTTTCTAGATATCAAGTTTTCATACATATTTGTTCCATATGAGACTTCCAAAAAAATTCAGGAGTGCCAGTTCCAAGGGAGATGAAGGAGTCCTGTGGGTGATCATGTTGACAGGAGGACTAACAGTGAGTCTCTGAGTTATATTAGTTTGCTCCTCTCTCAATTGACTTACTTCTCCATTTGTTCCCAAAGCACTTTCAGTTATATGAATTTAATTTCTGCAAAATTTGTGAGTTTATTCTTTTTTGAAATCAACAGAAAATATGTGAAAAGAATCTTGGATTTTCAGCTGGGAAACCTAGAAGGTAATTCTTTCAAATCTGTGTGTGCTCAAGAGTTAGGTTGTAAACAAGAAAATCTGATTTTGGTTTACCAACCAAACAGGAGTAGAGCAGCGAACAGAGGAAATAATTAAACAACATTTTGAGAATGTGAGCAACTATACCAAAAATTTGTGGCTTAAAACAATCATCATTTTATTTGCTCATGATTCTGTGGGTCAGTGATTTGGGGTAGGCTCAAATTATTTAATTTATTTCTAAGTATATACCCAAAATCATACTGAAGTTTTATCAGACACAATTATTGAATTACCTATCAGATGATACTTTAATTAGATTAGGTTGAGTAGGTTTTTTTCCATTTAGTAGAAAGTGAAAATGGGAAACAACTTAGAAATTAACACATTGGATGTTGATTAGAATTGCTGATCTCTCTTTTTTTTTCTTTTAAACTTGAGTTGTTGCAGTGAATTAAGTGGTTACTGGTGAGTGGGTCTGTTGGGTGAGAGATGGTCTCAATCACATGACATAATGTTGGTGATGACTGTCTTCTGGGTCTCTCTCTTCATGTCATTTCTCATCCTCTAGGAGAATAGCCTGGGTTCCTCACATGGCAGTGGCATTCCAAAACAGTGGAGGGGAAGCTGCAAAGTTCCATGATGACTAGACTTAGAAGTTGTAGATCATCATTTCAGTCACATTCTGTTGGTCAAAACAAGTTACAAGTTCAGCCTAGATTCAAAGGGTTGAGAAATATCCACTTCTCATAGGGAAGGATTGCAAATGATTTATGGTCATTTTTTAGTCAATCACACCTAAGTATCAAGAATAGAGAATTTTCCTTGGAAAACTGTTGAGAAGATTTACCCGCAACCATTACCAATTATAGGGAGAGGTTGCTTATCCTGGTTTGGGACACATACATATGCTTGACTGAGGAAGACAGTTTTCTTTGATTTGCAGTGCTTATAAGATTATAGCCAGTGAAGGAGGGCAAATACCTCCAAACAAGAATTGGGTGTCATTACCAAAAGGAGGAGGAGTGAATGCAGGGCAGGCAAAAACAGTGTAGGCCATTTTACTCAGGGACCTTGGGAAAATCACTTGCCTTTTTGAGGTCTGTGTTTGGTGACTTCTTTTGTAAATTGACAATAAGAAAGCTCACAAAAGTTCTTCTAGTGTTGTGATTTTGCTGTTCTGCTTGTCTTCTGTTTCCATCCTGCCTCTCCATTTTGTATCACCAATTGCCAGAGATCATAGCCAGAGACTATGCATCACATGCTGCCTTTGAATTCATGGCAAAATAGAACGTCTGCATTAAAGGATCAACATCTTCCATTAAACTGTAAGTTCTATGAATGCAGAAAATGCATCTAGTTCATCTCTAAGTCCTCATCCCCTGATATATTAGGTGCTTACTAAATATTAATTTCATGTTGGAAGAATCAAGTAATTATGAAATCTTCAGAAGTAGCTTCTTTTTATGGACCTCATTTTTGTTTGATATGGCAGGATGTGATTGAATTCAGAGATATACTATTCCAAAATTAATGTTATCCTATCTTTTCACCCATTTTTCAATCATTCTTCTCAAATGTACAAAGGAAAAGCCTATCTTTCGCCTATTCTGTATCTTAATCAGATGTGTTTCTTTGGGTACCAAATTCCTCTGTGGTACCAAAAAAACAAATTGAAATATTAGTGAAAAAAAATTTTTAAAGTGAGTGACTCTGATGAACAGCTAACATCCATTTCTGAGACTGTTTTCAGTTCTTAACTTTCAACTAAATAAAAGAATAATTTAAAACAAATTTCTATGTATAGATTATTAAATAATTATGGCTGATGAAGCATTGGCATAATTTGGGGCATAAAACTAGCCAAGAATTAAAATAGTTAAGTAAAATGACCTTAATACAAGTTTTTTAATTCCTAAATACTTGTCTACGTTAATTGATTTTTTAATTCAAGTTTTATATTTCTTATTAAAAGGAAGAAATTACATTATATTATGTCTGGAAAGAGAATGAGAGCAACCCCCATATATTCCTGTTCTTAGTGATTTTTAGAAGCTATAGAAAATGATCTGATCTGGCTGCTCATGGTGGTGTGCCCGTAATTCCAGCAACTTGGGAGGTTGAGGCAGGAGGATCACCTGAGGCTAGGACTTTGAGACCAACCTGAGCAACACAATAAGACTCCATCTGTATATATGTATGGAGAGAGAGAGAGAGAGAGAGAGAGATGGAATCTCACATATATCTACATATACGTATGTAGAGAGAGAGGCTATATATACACATATATAGAGAATATATATACAGAATACAATATATATATACACACACACAGATATATATGTGTGTATATATAAAAATATAAATATGTATGTGTATGTATGTAAATACATAAATATCTGTATGTGTATGTATATACACACATATATATCTATTTATATAAATATATATCTGTGTATGTATATGTGTATTTATATAAATACATGTGTATATAAATATATATATGTGTGTACCCATATATGTACACACACAGATATATGTTTAAGTATATATATACACTTATATATACTTAAACATATATCTGTGTGTGTACATATATGTGTATGCATGTAGAGAGAGAGATGGAGTATCTCATATATATATGGAGTCTCATATATATCTACATATATATGTAGAGAGAGAATATGCATACACATATATAGAGAATATAGAGAGGATATATATACAGAATACAATATAGATACACGCAGACACAAACACACATATATATATATAATTTTCTTTAAGTGAAGAAAGATAAAAGAAAATAGTCCAATCAGTTTCAATGGCTAATGTGAGAAACATTCATGGGAGGTAAATAACCTCATGGCATTCCAGGCCAAGTGATGGAATGCCCCACCCAGAGTGGGTGATGAGGTGTTGTGGCTGACATTTGCAAAGTGGGGGATTTCCCCTTTGGGGGATTCTTAGTAAAGCATGATTTTTGATGGAGTTGAATAATATTCAGAGAAAAGCAAGACCACTTCGTACCTAAAGACCAGGACCAACTACATAATTCATGGGGCCCAGGCAAAATGAAAATGTTAGGCCTTTTGTTAAAAAATTAAGAATTTCAAAATGGCAAAGCAGAACACTTTATCAAGTTCAGGGCTCTTCTAAGCATGAAGTCCTGTGCAACTGCAAAGACAGCATTTCCATGAAGCTGCCCCTGCCAGAGACCTTCACATCAGCAGAACCCACCATGACGAGATTAAACTTGCCAAAAATAGAGTGAGACCACCTCCCTTCTGCCAGTTCCTGTGGTCAAGTACACCTCTGCTGCCTCTATCCTGACATCTAGCCACCAATCCTGAAAAGATTACTGCCCTGAAGACGGAAGTGGGAGGAATTCTTTCAGGGCCAAGCCATGCCTGTGCCTTCCTCTTTACCAGCTGGTGGAGCTTAGTGCATTATTAGCCTGCACAGTGAGAAGGAGAAAATGAACTTGACCATTGTTTGAGGTAGACGTTTTTACCAACTAAATAAATAAAACTGATTCTTAAATATCACAATGGGTCCATGTAATGATACTAACTGAAAAATATTATGGCATCTTGAAAAAATGTAATTAACAGACCCACTAATTTATGGGAAGTGAGAATTTGATAAAGGATATTTAGTTTAACTACAGGAAGAAATAATACAATTTGATACATATGCATAAAAGAGCTGAGCTTCCTCAATCAATTACCTAAGTACACTTATAGCTATTTTGGAGGTAGCTAAGAAAACCCAAAAGATAATTGGCAGATAGAGGGAGGAGAGATGACAAAGTGTAGGATATCAGAAGGACCACAAGAAAGATTTAGATTGGGGGATGTAATCAGTTATAGGTAGATGTTTTATTTACAGTTAATTACAAAGGTAAATCAGGTAAGGAGATTTTATTTTTTAAATTACTATGAAAAGTCAAAGCTATAGATGATGGGTAAACATAAAACTGTCTTTCAGAATAAGATTCAGAGCTTGCGTAGTTTGTGATTTTTCATAAAAAGGTTGAAGGTAAGAGCAGCATGTTTTCTTTTATGTTTCCTTTTAGCCTGTGATGTCACAACAAACTAGGACTGAAGATCAGGGACCAGTTTGACAGGCTTTCAAATGGACCTCCTGGATATGGGGATATAACGCAATAGACAAGAAGGGAATGAAAGACAGAGAGAAAAGACAATGCTTGGAAATAAAAATGGTGGTGCCTTGAGGGAAGAGCAATTGAGTATAACTGGGTAAATGACACAATGGAATTGTGCTGCTAATTTTCCCCTGCTACACATATAAATTATGCAGAGAATATTGGATTGATAACTTCTCTGCAGTGAAAACTGCCTATTTGCTTTCAGGGCCTGGCAGAGGTGAGAGCAGTGGTGAGAGGAATTAGCACACAAAAAAGGAATAAGAGACATACAAAATTACGTATGACACAGAGGATCCTGGAAAACTGTGAAATGTACACATGCATCCTGAGAGTCAAATTAGGGAAGATACACATTTCATTTAACCTGAAATTTGGGCTACCAGGTTGGCAGATATAAGAAGAAGCGCCTTAAATAGTTAACAGCTTCAGCTAATTGCTGGTTCATAATGAAGTTAATAGCTCCTAGTTGATGTTTTCTTTGCAAGCTTTAATAAGGCTTACTTAAAACCTCTACTTTTTCTTTAAAAAGTTGCCAGCTATGCGTAAGAAAGGCAATAATGTACAGAACACTGGCAAATAAATGTCTTCGAGACTTATGTGGCCTCTTGACAGTAGCTTTGACATATATTTTTCATGTTTTAGAATGATAAATGCAACATCTTGGAGCATAATTTGCCAGAAAAAAAAAAAAGAGAAGACAGATGGGGAAAGCAAAATGTCCAAGAAAACTGCTTGTCTAAGGTTACTGCTAGGTTTTTTACTTTTTACAAAACTTTGGTTTGGTTCATGCTCCCTAGTTGCTTTTTCTTATTGGAAGTAGAGGTTTGTATTAAACATTGAGAACATTATAAACATATCACAAAAGAGGCTATGATTTCCTGAAAGTGATTCTTTATAGAAAAACATTTGATAACTACTATTTATAAAGGAGCAGGCTCTGTTACTTCTATCCAGAAGAAGATAATGAGAACTAAAACTCTAAGACACTTGTTCAGGGAGCAGTAGTCTGATTCAGGCTTCACTGGGCTAAAATCTATGTGTCAGGAGGGCTACAGCACCTTTCTGGACGGTATAGGGAAGAATCTGTGTTCTTGCCTTTCCAACTTCTAGAGATTGCCAATATTTCTTGGCTCATGGCTCACTCCCATCTTCTAAACCAGCCATGATAGGTTGAGTCTTTTGCACAAGGAATTGCTCCAACTCCTTCTCTGTCCCTCTTTTCCACTTTTAAGAATCCTTGTAGTTACATTGGCCCCAGCAGATAATCCAGAGTAACTTCCTTATTCTAAGATAGGTTAATTATCCATTTTAATTCCATCTTCAACCTAAGTCTTTCTTGATATGTGAGGTAACATATTCAATTGTTCAAGGAACTATGACATGTGAACATCTTAAGGAGTCACTATTCTACCTATGGAAATAAGGTATTGTATATTATATTAGCACTGCCATGAGGATTAAAAGAAGCACTTTGAAGAGGGCCTGGCACATCATAATAGAAGTAATATTATGATAAGTAGTTGGAGTGAATCGTGAAAGAAGAAGAATGAGCTGGAACACTGCAACTGTGCAAATTACAAAGTTTAGGAATCCATTTAGTGCGAGTGTCTAAGCGAGAAAAGAATGCTTTCTAGCCTGAGAACACCAGCTGTAGAGCTGTATATTTGATCACAGTCATTATACCACAAAAGAGACATTTATACACAGAAATGAACTTAGACAAGAATAACAAGGATCGAGGGTCAACCTAAGCCACCTGATACAGGATGTAGTATAGAGTAGTAGTTAAGCCCGAAGGTAGGACTGATATCATGAGCATGTGACCAGTGCAGCTTTACAGTGGCTAAGAGGAGCACCATGCTTGGTTTTATGCTCTTCTGCAGCCATCTTGAAACACTAAATAATTTCATCTTTGAACTGGTGTTTTATCAAAGTCCTGTGGGAAACCAAAGCCTGTGTGTGAGCAGAGAAATATGTACAAAAAACACATGCACTATTTTTTTCTATGCATTTCTCATATAGTATTTGCAATACCTCATTATCTCAGGATTTTGGTAGACCCACCATGCATGAAAGTACAGCCTGACTCAAAGTGAGTATAAAATAATTATGTTACTTGTGTTTACAACTGTGTACAAGTGCAGAAGCTGGTAGCCAAGAGAGGCCACACTATTCATATGAACCACAATTTTCTTCAATCATAAAAAGGCATAATGACTCCAAGATATACATATGATATATCCTTTCTTACTCATGTTATTTGCCAGGTATTAGCAAACCACTAACACTATAAACGATGACATAGAAAGCAGTGGAAATAAAACGTAACACATAGTTCCTATTTTTCTCAATCCTTTACTTACTCATCGGTAAGAGGAAGGTAGAGAATGCTGATACAATATATGTGTCTATCTGGTAAAATAAAAACAACTGAGGTGTTTTTGTGAAGCATCTCCATTGTTTCATAAAAATAAAATGCAAATCGTATAATTTAATTGATCCTGCATATGTACTAAAGCTCTTACATTTGCATTTAAAACTGACATTGTACAATATAACAAGAGATCATACTCATTATGCTAATCATTTAAAATTTAATTTTGCTTTCTTAGAATGACATTACATCTCAAATAAAAAATAAGTTGAGAGAGAGAACACAAAAGAAAGAAAAACATTTTATACCCTTAACAGTGCTTCTTATTGTTTTTGAACAAGTGGCCTTGCATTTTCATTTTGCACTGGGCCTTGCAAAATATGTAGCCAGCCAAGCATGAGAGGTCTGGAGAATTCCAAGTCTCTCTCCTGCTAGTTTTGTAACCTTAGATTAATTATTTAAACTCTTTGTTCCTTAGCTATCCTCATAAGGGAAATGAAGACTTGATAGGGTTTTAGTACAGAAGAATTTGGTTAATCCACATATTGTACTTACAATAGTATGTGTCTCGTAGCAGAATGTAAGCTACACAGTAATACGTTGTTGTCTACTTTGTCCAAGCATCTAAAACCGTGTCTGTTGAGTATTTGGAGGACAATAAATAATTTTTGGAAGAATAAATGCACTCAGCAAACTAGGTAATTAGTTCTCAAAACTGGCCAGTCTAGCAGTACACTTTCTATTAAATGTGGATTTCTGGACCTTATATTCTCAAGTTCTAGATTCACTGCTTTTTTAGTGGAACCCAGAGATATAAATTTTAAAAAGCTCCCTGGATAATTTTAATGGATTCCAGGTTTGGAGGCCATTGAAATTTTAATGCACTTCGACATATCTATGCCTTTCCTTGTCCTAATCCCTCTGCCTGTTTTTCTCATTTATTTTATCCTTATGTGAAATTACCCCTGTGTCAAGCTCTTCTTGTCCATGCTCTAGGACAATGGATTGTGTAATTCACTTGCATAATTTATTGTGAAAGCTTGTTGTGAGCACTGAATAGTATAAAAAGGCCAGGTAAACATTTTGTACATATTTTATACCAAGTGAAATCACACATAAAGACATCTCAAATGGTTGGCTCAGTAGAAAATTATTAATTGCCAATTCACTGCTCTGGAGAAGGTTCAACGGAATGAAATTTGAAGGCAGGACTCAACAACTGAGGTGAAGATATATAGAACTTCTCATTTGAAATAAAAGCTGAGGCTGTTTTTATGTTACAATGGTATGTTGTATTGAGAACAGCAAACCTGATCCAGGGGTTCTGTTGGGTGTGTATGTGTGACGTATTTTGATAGTTGTGACCTGTGGGAGGCAGTTGACTACTATTGTCACTTTTAAAGGAAACTTAACTACTGAATATACCTATGAAAGAGTAATAAGGAAGAGGTAGTGTATTTGTTCATTCTAGCTTGCTATAAAGAAATACCTGAGACTAGGTAATTTATTTTAAAATGAGGTTTAATTGGCTCATAGTTCTATAGGCTGTACAAGCATGGCAGCAATGTTGCTGGGCTTCTAGGGAGGCTTCAGGGAGCTTTCTTTCATGGCAGAAGGTGAAGCAGAAGTAAGTGTCTCACATGGCAAAGCAGGAGCAAGAGAGAGAGGGGTGGGAGGTGCCACACGCTTTTAAACACCAGATCTCTTGAGAACTCACTCACTACCATGAGGACAGCACCAAAAGGATACTGCTAAATCGTTCATGAGGAATCCAACTCCATGATTCAATCACCTCCCACCGGACCCCACCTCTAACACTGGGAATAAAATTCAAAGTGAGATTTTGCTGGGGACACAGATCCAAACCATATCAGGTAGAAACATGAAGGGAGGGTTAATTTTGCTGTAATTTTGAAGCCTAGCATCTCCATATCAGAAAAACAAATAGATTAGGAGTGGGTATGTAACTACAATTTTAAGGAAAGTTTCATCAGGGAAAATAATAGTTCCTGTATCATTTTATAATTGTATATTCAGCTAGACTGAATGTGCTCCTCTTCCGTGCCATAAGGACATTTTGTACTGTAATAATAGTTATAATATTATTTGTATAATAGAGGTATTAAGGGGCCACCTCCATATTATGTGAGAGATGAAAGGCCAACTCTGCCCCAACATATGTGACGTCTATCTGCAGAACAGATTACCAAAAATTCTATCATCAGGAATCGTATTTCTAGGTTAAGCCTCAAAATATTTCACTTGAGATACCACTAACACATCAGTAAGAATTAGGTAAGTTAGCAGACTCTAATAAATCCCTTTGAAAGTTTTCCTTCTGCCATTACAGATTAGGAGCGATCCAGAGGCACTGGCTGCCAGTGAAGCCCTATTTAAGCAGAAAGGGAGGATCAGAAAAGAAAATGAGTACTGCAGATAAACTGCTTCTTCCTCACAGTCATCCCTTCCCTGGGACCTGTTCTAGATTTGCTAACACAGAGTGGACCTTCAGTGCATTTCTACTGTACACAGTCTGATAGATTTAGTTATGTAGACAACTGTGGGACATGCCTGCATTTGTGGCCACTGCAGCTATTATATTTGATTTTGTTCAATAGTAAAAAGGGATAGTGGAAGAGAGCATAAATCCCAAGGTTTTGCTTCCCTTGTGTGTGTGCAGTTGTATTGGCAGCAGGAAAGGTAGTCCAAGGGAGAGCTTTTCTTTTGACCAAATGTCACTATTACTTAAATAGACCATGAACAGTGCAGCGCAATTGGAGAGACATAGTTTCCTGGTGAGAGAGCCTTGTAATAAGAAGCAAGGTCCCTGCAGACTTCTCCAGATTAACTAAACAAAGAAAGATGCCATAGATACTACCTAATACAATACCAGGTAGAATTCCTGTAGCTAAAAGGGAGGACTCTTACAGGCATAGCTCTGGCAAAAACACAAGTCTTCCAATCAGATATACAGCTGCTGAGACCAAGCGAAATTATGCATGAACATTGAAGGGAAAAAAGCAATACTGCCTGGTGAATTCAGAGAGCATAGACTTCATTCCCTGTCCTCATCCCCGCACCATGCTGACCCCTGGCTGTATAAGAAATAAATCAATGTGATATTTCCAGAAAAGGAATGGCCAGATGCTTGTCCTAATTCTTCCATGCTGACCTTGGGTAAACTTCATTACCTTTCAGTGTCTCATTTTTCTTACCTGAAAATTCAGAATACAGATCTTGCCTTGCTTAATATTCAGGGTTGATTAAGAACCAAATGAAATTCTGCATATGAAAAAGTTAGAAAAAGAAATAAACCATTATACAAATGCAAGGTCAGCTGATATGAAAGAATATGCTTATAGTTTCTGGGGTTAATTACTCTGATCCCTGATTTTAAAGAAAGGAAGGTACTTGGTCAGCGATATGCTAATGACTTTCTCACAGACTGTATGAAGTGGTATTCCTTTAAAATTTTGGGTTAACTGTCCAGTTCATTCCGTCAAAACTGCTGAAGGAGTTATACAGAGACATGGCCTAAAGAATAGGTCTCCATGACCTAAAATTATAAGGCGTGACTTACGTTAGAGCATATGGCTGTATACATTCTAACTCCTAATTAAAATCTTAGGATTGAAAAGAATAATTTGTTATGGGTTTAATAAATCCCACATCCGATTTTAGTAAAAATTACATTTAAATTAATCATTAATCATTTAGCACAAAAGAAACACATGATCACCAGTGTAAACTGGGAGAACTAGGTTAAATTCCAGACATTGGAGATGTGTGTGATAAATCCTATAGAGGTCAGAGGCACTGATTCTGTAATGACTAAATTCTGAGAGTTTTACTCTTCCATGAATATATGAGGTGGCAATTGTTAGCCTTGTTAAACCTGGTTGCTTAGAGACAGCTGACTGATTAGAAGATTGTTGCTATCTGTGTCTATAATTATTGTGATTACTATTACTGTGGTAGCCCTCAGTG